CGTAAACGCCCACCCCGGACTGAAGGAAGAGGCATAGTGGCTTCGCCAGAAAACCTTTGCCCCGCAATGAGATCACCAGGAGCTCCCGGGGCATGTGGAAGGCAAAGCTGACCATCCCCAAGTAGCTGAAGTGAAACTTCTCTGCTTGCGCACCGCTGGCGCCCCTATTTTCGATGGGGGCCCGTTCCCTTGCCACCCTTCGCCTTTCCCTTGGGCGCTGCTTTCCCGCCCCCCTTGGCAGGGGCGTTTTCCAGCTTACTGCTCAGCTTGGCAACGGGGGCGGTGTACTCGGGGAAGGCCGGGTCCGTGAGCCACTCTCTCCAACCAGGCCCGTAGTCCACAGACAGTTTGTTCTCATCGATGTGCCCGTGAACAGCGACGACATCGCCTACCCAGACTTTGCCTTCTTTTGGGTCGGCCCACACGGCTTTGGACTCGCATCCCCGTTCCCTGAGCATGTGTTTCACCCCCAACACGAACGAAGAAAGGATGCGTTCCGAGAGGACCTTGTCAGGCTTCGCACAAATATTGCCCCCCCCTTCTTTGAACGACCCATTGCGGAATACGCTGACAGCTTTGTCCCGGTCCCCTGTGGACAGGAACTTCAGGAAAGCAGTGCCCCGGAAATCTCCTTTGGTGTAGGTGTCCCGGGGCTGGGGCCCGAGAGCGCCCCAAAGTCTGTTCGACGCCCACTCCTTCACCTCCTGCACCCCCCTGAACGACTGCAGGCCGCCGACGACCAAGGTCTTGCCCCTCTCTGCCTTGTTGTCGGCGCTGCTGGAGCCCGAAACCTTCGGCGTGGCGATCTGCAGCTCCAAGGCCTTCAACTGCTCCCAGATCTCTGCGTTCGCAGTGCAATCAGACCGCGGAGTGTTCGTCAAGCTGACGCGCTGCTCCTCAAGGTCCGCGATGCGAGTCTCGAAATTGTCAATCTTCCCCTCCACCGCGCTCATCCGGGAGTCCATCATGTCGCCCATACCAGTGACCTTGTTCTCGAGGTCAGAGATGGCGCGCTGGAGCGGTGTCACCTCCTGCCGGAACATATCCGCGATCTCCTCAAGGGTCGGCGCCTGCTGCTGGGCGCCTGCTGTGGTGTCTGGCGTGCCGATGTGGTGTTCCCCTGCGTTTTCAGCCTCGTCCATCTCGTTCAATGGGCTGAAGAGTCTCTGCCGCACGTCCCGCCCCCCACCAAGCGGAGTGCCTGGCTGGCGGTTTCCTCGCGCGTCCTGGCAGGCGAAGACATCGCGCAAGACAAGATGTGAGAGACAGTCGAGAAGAGGAAATGCAAAGAGAGCAAATACAAGAGGAGTATGAGTATGAAGTATGTCAGGGCCGCTCACGCCCTCTCGCATATTCTGGCCTTGAGCCAGTCCTTGAGCCAAGCGCAGACGACTACAAATACTTCTACGCGCAGTGCGGCGTACGCCTCAGACTGGGCGTCACGGAGGACCCGACTCGCTGCGCCAAGATCGCGGAATTGCTGCGCTTCCACGCCGCCGAGGACGAGGACGAGATTATCAACTTGAAGGAACTCGTGGACAGAATGCGGAGGGCCCGACTCACCGCACCAAGCTCGCGGAGATGATTCGCTGCCGCGCCATTGCGACCGAGGGCGTGCTGATGCGCGCGGCGGAGTACGAGGACAGCGGGTCGTGCGGCGTCTTGCGCGACTTGGAGCAACTTCGCGAGCATTGCAACGATGAGGACTACTCGTGAGTCGAGGCTGGCATTGCTGCGCGTTTCGTCTTTTCTGTTCTCCCCCCTGGAGGCTGTCGCCCCATCCGCCCCGATCGAGAGCTCACATGCACGACTGTAGCTTGAATGGCATGAGCAGGAACGCGTTGGAGTCAAGACCTGCGGTGTTTTTTGTGTTTTCCTTTTTCTCCGTCACTGCGTGACTACACAGTATGTCTTCGGGTGTAGCCTGATCCTAGAGGCACTCTGTGTTTGCTGACCTTCACGAACCCACTGCGTCCGAGGGGTCCGATCCGATATACATATATATATGTACATATATATATATATATATATATATATACATACATACATATACATATACATATACATACATATATAACAATGGTTTGAGCGTATCTGCCTTGCTCTTTTCCCTCGGGGGGAGGATGAACGCTCCGGAGGACCGGGAGGTGTTGCGGAGGCGGTTTCTTTTCCATCTCTGCCGTTTTGCCGCGCATCAGTTCCCATGCCATTACATGCAGTCTGGGCTAGGACATGGAGCGATTTGGGATCTCGGGTAGGCGTTAACGACTCATGTGGGGACGTTGTTGGGTGTTGATGGTGTCCAGGTTTTTGTTCGACATGTCGGTGGCGTGATCGATGAGGGGAGGCTTGGGACGACATGTTCGGCGTCGACAGGGCTGTAACCCAGGCGCTTCATGTCGGAAAGCAGCATTGGACATCGATGCGTTTCACGAGGTGCAACGCAGTGGTTTTGTCAGCCGTCGCCTGTCGCCCGTATAACGATTCGCATGCTATTGCG